GGTAAAGAAGGCATATGGAAAAAGAAGACAAAAATAATCTTGATCCAGTCTACTAAGATGGAGAATGAAGACAGCAACAGCCATCCTTGGCTAGATCTGTTTTACATCTGAAATCTTCTTACAGTGAATGCTAAAATACCACTAATATGTAAAGTTATTTTTCCTGTAAATATTGGCCATGATAAAAAATAAGTCATTGGTGATGTATGGCAAAACACCCAGTTCATAAATTTCTAAACCAGGCTGTCCTCAACAAAGGTTTATTGTCTAGTGTAAGCCATTCCATGAAGAATGGCTCATCCTCCTGCCACCTAACACCAAAACCAAAGCCATTTGGAGGTGATGGGTAAAACTAACCATAAAAAAGTCACAGGTAGCCAGAATTCCCCCTCTCATGTAAACCCAGAATACAGCGCTGATGGTTACTTGATATCTACACAGAGGACAAATAAGCCAAGGGAATACCTAATATTTGATCCATCAATTGTAACTAAGTTCCCATTTAGCAGGTTATTTAATCACCCTCTCCTTCACTGTACCTGTTCTTAATTAGTCCTGTTGACAAAAAAAAGAAAAAAGAAAAAAGTGGGGGAGGAACCAAAAACTTGCATGAGTAGCACTAGGGTGCTGTATGAAATAGTGATTATTTTAAAGCTCCTGAGGCAAAGAAATTAAGAAAATATGAAAGACATCTTTTGTCTCTAGAGAGTGTTCCATTTTCTTTTCTTAATCTATGTGAATGATAAAAATGAAGTTTTAAGTGGCTGCACCTATATTCAATACGTTTATATTCCACGTATTCAATAAGGAGTATTTTCAAAAAGAAAGCAGCCATGTTGTGAATGTTTTATTTTAATTGCACCCCTTAGCACTACAAACCTTTTAATTGTTTTGCCTCCCATTGGAATATCTTAAACAAAAACAGAATTTTCTAATTAATCCACTGGAGACGTATAAGGATATAATAAAGATAACTTGCTCTTGTTTCGTCACTTGAAAGTAATTACACAAAAGTTCCTTATTTAGGAAGTGATCAGGGCTCACAGTTGGTTTTTTTTTTTTTTTTAAGTTATATTCTTGGTGTTTTACTGGTCTACTTAGTTGAAAATTTAAATCACCATCCTTAAAGAAAAGAACTTTCAACCCAGAATTTCATATCCAGCCAAACTGAGCTTCACCAAAACACCAAAAGCATTGGCAACAAAAGCCAAAATAGACAAATGGGACCTAATGAAACTCCACAGCTTCTGCACGGCAAAAGAAACAGTCACTAGAGTGAATCGGCAACCGACAAAATGGGAAAAAATCTTTGCAGTTTACCCATCTGACAAAGGGCTGATATCCAGAATTTACAAAGAACTCAAACAGATTTACAAGAAAAAAACAAACAAGCCCATTCAAAAGTGGGCAAAGGATATGAACAGACACTTTACAAAACAAGACATACATGAGGTCAACAAACATGAAAAAATGCTCATCATCACTGGTCATTAGAGAGATGCAAATCAAAACTACATTGAGATACCACCTCACGCCAGTTAGAATGGCAATCATTACAAAATCTGGAGACAACAGATGCTGGAGAGGATGTGGAGAAATAGGAACACTTCTACACTGCTGGTGGGAGTGTAAATTAGTTCAACCATTGTGGAAGACAGTGTGGTGATTCCTCAAGGACCTAGAAATAGAAATTCCATTTGACCCAGCAATCCCATTACTGGGTATATATCCAAAAGGCTATAAATCGGTCTACTATAAGGACACATGCACATGAATGTTCATTGCAGCACTGTTTACAATAGCAAAGACCTGGAACCAACCCAAATGCCCATCGATGATAGACTGGACTGGGAAAATGTGGCACATATACACCATGGAATGTTATGCAGCAATCAAAAATGATGAGTTCGTGTCCTTTGTAGGGACATGGATGAATCTGGAGAACGTCATTCTCAGCAAACTGACACAAGAACAGAAAATGAAATACCGCATATTCTCAACTCATGGGCGGGTGATGAACAATGAGAACACATGGACACAGGGAAGGGAGCACTACACACTGGGATCTATTGGGGGGAATAGGGGAGGGATAGCATGGGGAGAAATGCCAAATATGGGTGAAGGGGAGGAAGGCAGCAAAACACACTGCCACATGTGTACCTATGCAACTGTCTTGCATGTTCTGCACATGTACCCCAAAACCTAAAATGCAATTAAAAAAAAATTTTAATCACTGGGAAGTAGCTTGGGAGGTAGCCTTAAAAGTTATCATTGATCACTTCTTGACCTTTTAGCTAAGATCAAGTGTAGTATCTGTTCTTATCAGTTTAAAGTTATCATTGGCTAGGGGTGCGGTGGCTCATGCCTGTAATCCCAGAACTTTGGGAAGCCGAGGCAGGTGGATCATTTGAGGTCAGGGATTCAAGAACAGCCTAGCCAACATGGTGAAACCCCGTCTCTACTAAAAATACAAAAATAGCCAAGCAGTAGTGGTGCCCACCTATAATCCCAGCTACTTGGGAGGCTGAGACAAGAGAATCAATTGAACCCAGGAGGCTGAGGTTGTGATGAGCTGAGATCGCGCCACTGCACTCCACTCTGGGTGAAATAATGAGACCCTCTCCCCCAAAAGAAAGTTATCATTACTAAAGTTCATTTAAGTTCCATTACCTGAAGAAAAACATGTAAAGCAGCAGAGAAAGTTTGAAACTATTGAATGACAAAAAGCTATCTGAAAATCTCTTATCTTCCACCTCAAATTTTCAGATATTTTAGGGAAATCATATTTTAAGAGTTTCACTGTTTGGTTAGCAAAGCAAAGGATGATGCAATACATACTTTGTACCAGTAATGTGTTATTTATTAATAAAAAAATGTTTAGGCCAGGCGCGGTAGCTCAGGCCTGTAATCCCAGCACTTCGGGAGGCTGAGGGGGGTGGATCACCTGAGGTCAGGAGTTTGAGACCAGTCTGACCAACATAGAGAAACCCGGTCTCTACTAAAAATACAAGAATTAGCTGGGCATGGTGGAGCATGCCTGTAATCCCAGCTACTCGGGAGGCTGAGGCAGGAGAATTGCTTGAACCTGGGAGGCAAAAGTTGCAGTGAGCCAAGATCAAGCCTCTGCATTCTAGCCTGGGCAACAAGAGTGAAACTCTGTCTCAAAACAAAAACAAACAAAAAGTTTAGACGACAGTTCATTCTATTATCTGTATCTTACCATCATTTAAATATATCACAAAACTAAAGCAATACTTAGAAAACATTTTTGTGAACTTAAAATTAGATGATGGAATGAAACTGCTTGGAAAAATGTAAAATAATAAAATAATATAGATATCAAAACTTTTAATTAATTCAGGTAAATTATGCAAAACATAGAATTCAAGTTTCAATTCTCCTAATTCTCTAACTGGTGAGTGAAGTGTAGGGACCTCTCTAAAACTCAACTTTATTCCTAAGGAACCAATACATTTGAGACTCTTGATTTATGAAATTTTAATTGAATCCAAGTTTAACATAATGAAATTAGTCGAGTAGAACTATTGAAATACAAATGACATGGTACGTTCCTTAGAAAACAATCTCAGGCATGGTGAGAAAGGCATAATTCTTATGATCTCCAAATATTTTTCATTTATGAGCACATATTTATATACCTTAAAGTACTATAAATACTTTCATATTTTAATCCTCCAACACCTTTTCAACCAGATGATATTATTTCCATTATACAGATAAAAGACCAAGAATCAGGAGATTAAATGAGTTTCTTCACCAAGACTAAAAGCTTAGCTCTTATCTCCAAACCCAATGCAGCTCTTCCTCAAAGTCAAATGAAGATATTCTCTTTTTTTTTTCTTTTGAGATAGAGTCTGGTTTTGTCCAGAGTAGGTAGGACTACAGGTACACCCAACCACTCCTACTTCCCCAAGCAAAACTATTCCATTAGAAATATTTAGATAGATAGCTGTGTGTAGTAACTCACATCGGTGGTCCGGGCTACTCTAGAGGCTGAGGCAGGAGGATGCCCCGGGCAAGAAAGCAAGAGAATCTCCCACCCTTTGTTTCTAAAAAAAAAAAAAAAAAAAAAAAAAAAAGCAAAAGCAAAAGCAATTAAATAGGCTGCACAGTGGCTCAGGCCTGGGATTACAGAATCCCAGAACTTTGGGAGGCTGAGGTGGGAGGATCACTTGAGGTCAGGCATTCAAGACTAGCCTGGCCAACATGGTGAAAGCCTATCTGTATTAAAAATACAAAAATTAGCCAGGTGAGGTGGCACATACCTTTCGTCCCAGCTGTTTGGGAGGCTGAGGCAGGAGAATCACTTGAACCTGGGAGATGGAGATTGCAGTGAGCTGAGATCACACCACTGCACTCCAGCCTGGGCGACAGAGTGAGACTCCATCTCTAAAAAAATAAATAAATAAATATCACAGCATAGGGTGGTTCTCTGTGTGTGGTCTCCTGCTCAGCAATATTGGCATCACCTGAGAGCTTGTTACAAGTGTGAATTTCCCGGCCCTCACTTAGACCTACTAAACCAGAAACTTTGGGGTGGGGCCCTGCATTCTGTTTTAACAAGCCTTCCAATGGCTTCTGATGAGCCCTGAAGTTTGACAACCACTGGCATAGAGTTTTCTTTTTCTCTGGCCCATTAAATTGTCAAATCCAATATAAAAATTATTAGTTTTGAGAAAGGGCTTATTAATGTACATTAAAAGGGTCAATTTTTACTGAATGACTATTATGTAGCAAGTATTTTTCTATGAACCTTCACTCACTGAATCATCATAAGGAGCCCTGCAAGGTGGATGTCATTACTGATCACTGAGGCATGGAGAGACTCGGTGATTTTTGAATATCTGTAGCGACAGAGAAGAGGTGGTCAGATTTGAGAATCCACATTCTTAACCGTATCATTCACATGCAGTCTGAGACTTTGCACAGTATGCACATATGCCTCAAGAGAATGCTGCCTGGTGCACTGGAAAACATACCAAGCTTTGGAGTTAGACACATCTGGGTGGAATTCCAGCTAGTCAGGTAGTAAACAGAAACTTCCTTTGTAGAGACAAAAGAACCAAGCAGATTGCTTCTGAAATACAAATACAAGTTTGCAACTTAATAAGTAGAAATAATTCTTTAAAATTTCTGCTTTCCTAAAATAGTCTTCTGCCTCAGGCTTACATGGACTACAAAATACTGGCAGAAAAAAAAAAGTGCTGCAAAATTCTTGTGTTATAAACATTTATGAATAAGGTAGCAAAATAAAAGGAATCTCATGGGAATTTGTTTCCATGCTATTTCCTCATTAGCAATGATATATTTTTATTTCATAGTTGCCAGGTGTTTCCATTCTGTAGTCCCCATATTCTGAAAAACTGTTCAAGTTTTTCAAGTGCAAGTGCAAAAACACACATACTTTACAAAAAAAGAATTTAGTTTATATCAAAATACAGCCATGTGGAGAAGGAGGATGATCTTAGCCTCCTACTGTTATCCTTATTTCCATTTGGTGTAATCTACATAAGCAGCAGAATGATCCTTTAAAAACGTAAATAAAAGCATGTCATTTTCCTGCATATGCCCTTCCACAGGGTTTCTCATCACACTTAAAAGAAAGCCTTATAGTGGCCAGCAAAGCCCTCCATGAGATGGCCTCAGGTTCTCTCTCTCTCCCAATCTCAAGTCCTCACTCAGTCTTCAGTCACAGTTGGTCCTTTGCTGCCCCTTTAACAAGTCAAGCAAGCTCCCTCCAGCCTCCAGCCCTTGTACTTATTCTTCCCTTTTCCTTGGTAACTTTTCCTAAACGTTCACAAGGATTTTCTCCCTGTCTTCATTCTGGTCTCCAGTTAAATATCACTTTTCAGAGAGACCTTCCCTGAACACCTTTAAAATAAAAATCTCACCCCCGATACCATCTATCCCAAATTCATAGTTTTGGTTTTTATTCATAGTACTTATCACTTGTCTCACGTTATATTAATATTTTCATTTGTTCATCTTTAATTATCTTCACTCTTCACAGGAATTTAAGCTCCCCAAAAGACAAGACTTTGTCTGATGCTCGGTTGTTTTTCTGACGCCTGGAACGGTACCTGGCAGTGTTACGGCCTGTTGTTCATTTTTTAAAACATTTTTCTTTATTTCTTTTAACATACAGTATGCTGCAGAATAATCAGCTAAGACAGGTACCCACAGAAGCTCTACAGAATTTGCGAAGCCTTCAATCCCTGTAAGTATAGTTGACATTGCAAAATATATTTAAGATCAATTTGGGAGGAAACATTGAAATGTTCAGTTGACCATTTTAGTATGTTCCTTGGTTGGGGGTCATACCTAAATAAATTGTGAATGAGAGCTCATTAGAATAACAACTCTTCATATCCTCATTGCGCAATATGTATGGGAGGGACCAGTGTTGGAATTTGGGGTTTTGGGGTGGATATTTAATTTCAGCACCTGCAGTCCAAAGCACTACTTCCAGGATCCTGTCCTACATTACTCTGTAATATTTTTGCTTCTGAATTCAAATAAGAAATAATGCTTTCCTCTTGCCTAAAAAAAGTGGATATTTTGACATCTTTGATTTAATCTGCTTTTAGATTATTTGAGTTGCCTTGTAATCAAGTCTTTTAAAATGAAATAAAGGCTTAATTTTTTAGTTCTGCCTATGTAATACATTAGGGATCCTCAAATCAGGAGCCTAAGATCTACTGGTATATCCTGAAGCCCTACTGCACAGGTCTAAAAACCAAGAGCTTCCCCATCACAGAACACAGATGTGCAGACACAGCCATAAACAATCCCACAGATAGAAACATACCTTAAATTCACACACCACACACAGACACATAGACTCACAGAGGTGTTGGTGTTCCCTACTCTGAATCCACTACTTTTTCATCAGAAGTTTCCTACCCCCCTACACACAATGATTTAAAACTTCTTAATAAATACAGTTACTCACAAAAGAACATTCTCACCAGCTAGATGTTTTGGAACTTGTATTGTAGGCATTTGTTTGCAGTGATTACTTGACAACTCTATACCACTACTATTTTGTGACTAAATCTTCCTCCCATTAGAATGTGTGTTTACAATACATTGCATGATTTTCGATATATCACATGTTTAATATATGCTCTAATTTACTTACAATGGGGATGCACATCTGCCAGACAAAATACTGGGTTGTAGTTCATGATGAAGAAGATGAATGCATTAAAAGAGCAAATAAATATTGTGGACTCTAGCTGAAAATAGTTGTAAAGGCTCCTTTGGTTAATAATTACATACAGTTTGTTTAATGCATTTTACTGAGGTAACATAGGAGAAGGAAGATTGTGAGATTTGAAGATACTTTTGTCCTTTGATCTTTTTTTTTTAATGAAAGAAAATCTGTGTTTGAGATCATTTTAAGCCTTTTACTCTAGTCAAACAAAGTGACTTCCTAGGTTTTCACCAGCCTATAGATAAACAAGCCCACAAGGGCCCCTTTGTGGCATGGGATAGGTCTGTTGTATTTTCTGGAGCTCCTTGATGTCATGACGGTATCACTTATCCTTTGTTGCACAAGCCTTTACCTGAAGGAAAGAAGCAGCAGCTGGAGAAGCAAAACAGCCTCAAGTTGGGATATTTGTGTAAGGCTACAGGGATCTAGTGGCTAAATTGAAATGAAGATAATGGCGGTAGCCAATAGGAACTTTAAACAGCTGCAAGGCAGGCAGTAGATAGAAGGATAAGAGTTTGTAACCAAAAGCCACTATCAGCTGAAAGAAGATCACAAACAGACACAAACAGAAGTGAACTCTTTGAGAAAGAGAAAACCATGAATCTTTTGTTCACTGGAACTGGGTGGTGCCTCTCTGATAAAGGTGTTCAGATTTAGTTTCTTACAGTCTAGATATGTACTGTTCACCAGGTGTCTCTAGCATTTGACTTCTGATTTGCAAAAAGAATAACGTTTTGAAACTTTATAAATATGTGTTCCCTGTGAAAAGGTCAAGGGTTAACTTTCTGTTTTGACACTGACCACATCCGAACTGAAGGATCTGGATAGATACTCGGCCCCCAGTTCACACTGGATTGTGTCATCGGGGTATGCAATGTTTGTCAGGGGCCCCTTTGTCCAAAGCACAGACAGACCAGTGTGAATGTTGAATGTTGGCAACCTGTGCTGGTGTACCACTTTTTGTCGCTGATATTTTCTGTGCTGCTTTGATACAAGACTTAAGAATTGTCAAAAAAGCATGATACTTTGGGAGGTTAAAGTGGGAGGATCACTTAAATCCAGGAGTTTGAGACCAGCCTGGGCAAGTGAGACCCCCATCTCTCTATAAAAAATTAAAAAGTTATCCAGACATGGTGTTCTGCACCTATAATCCCAGCTACATGTGAGGCTGAGGTGGGAGGATCACTTGAGCCCAAGAAGAACTCGAGGGTATAGTGAGCCCTGATCATGCCACTACACTCCAGCCTGGGCGAGAGAGCAAGACCATGGCTCAGAAAAAAAAAAAAAAAAGAATCTCTGAGGATAGGATTCATACATGCACTGGTGTTTTCTAACTGGATTAATTGCATAGTTAAGTATTTCCTAAGTGAAATTTAGGAAAACTATTGCCCTGACCTGGAGCTTTCCCTCAGATGATCTGCAAAGTATACTCCTGAACTCTTTTCAAACCTGAAATCATAAGCTTGAGCAACGTAGTGAGACACTGTCTCTAAAAATAAAGTAAATAAATAAAATTGGCTGGGCGTCATGGTGCATGACTGTAGTCCCAGCTACTCTGGAAGCTGAGGTGGGAGGATCACTTGAGCTCAGGAGTTTGAAGCTGCAGTGAGCTATGATCCTGCCGCTGCACTCCAGCCCAGGCAACAGAGCAAACCCTGTCTCTGAAAAAAAAGAAAAGAAATACCTGATACAACAACAAAATCCATACTTTGCATTCTACTATGAGCTAATAATATATTTAAAATATAAAAGTCAGGCATTGTCTCGTTTGTGTTTAATTGAAAACAGCTGCATGTCTGTGAATTCCACTGATAACACGGGGAGATAAAGTTAAGAGGCCACATGCTCTATCACCCTGCTCTTCAGATTTGTTCTGGGGGCCAGCAGCATCAGCAGCAACTGAGAAATGCAAGAAACCTGGGTCTCAGCTCTGCCTTACTTAATAAATATCTTTATTTTAACAAAATCCTAGGTAATTTGTATGCAAAATGCATTTGAGAAATTAACATTATTAGTGTTCTGTAATACTAACAAAGTGGTCTACAAATCAAAAATGGTTGAAAACGACTGACATAGATCATTTGCATTCTTTGCTTCACCCATATACCCTTGGCTTCATTGAATAAAGTTTAGGAAATTTGATATTGGTAATTGGTAACGTTGTTGTGAGGAAGAAACAAATTGTGCTAGTGTTTCAAGGAATGTAAATTTCCATTTATTCCACACACAAAAGATGTTTTGTTTTGTTCAGAATGGAAACACATAGGTTCACTTGTGGGGTTTTTTTGTTTTTTATGAGATGGAGTCTCTCTCTGTCACCTAGGCTGGAGTACAGTGTTGTGATCTCAGCTCACTGCAACCTCTGCCTCCCAGGTTTGAGCGATTCTCCTGCCTCAGCCTCCTGAGTAGCTGAGATTACAGGCGCCTGTCACCACCTCTGGCTAATTTTTTATATTTTTGTAGAGATGGGATTTCACTATGTCGGCCAGGCTGGTCTCAAACTCCTGACCTCAAGTAATCTGCCTGCCTTGGCCTCCCAAAGTGCTGGGATTACAGGCGGGAGCCATGGCACCTGATCCACTTTTGTTATTTTAACTCTTCTGATGCTAACAAATTGCTGGGCTAAGGAATAAGGGTGCAGGCCCACAAGCCAGACCCCAGCATCCCAAAGCCTGCCTCTGTACAGTATGTACATTTGGCTTCTGACATGGCAAGGACTGCCCAGACACCAATTAGATTTTGTATAATGTAATCAAATATAACCTAATTTCCTTTCTGTTTCTTGGAAGGGGATAGGAAATGTAATCAGATTCACAGTAAGCTGTATTTTACCAAAAAACTGTTGGCATTATGGACATTTGAGGACTAGAATCAGATTACGGTGATTTGATAGAAACTCAAAACTTAACCCTCCCATGCCCTCACACATTTATTGTTCATTTGTGATGGTTATTAATAAATTATAAGCGACTCACTGTCACTAGTGAAGTTCAGGATGACTAAAGAGAGTTGTATATTCATGTTTGTCCAGTTAACCAGAGTATTATTTAATGCATGTTGGTTTTTATTCCAAGTGTGCACTAGTGAAGCTAATTGTGAAATGTGCACATTCAAAAAGGCAATAGGTTGTTCAATAGAAAATGAAAGAAGAATTAAACACATCTTTATTATTGTTGCTATTCTCCAATTAACTAATATTCATCTTTAGAATATGACTATATTTTAAAACCCAAGAATAAAGTATAATTCCTGCCTGACACACGATCTGCCCATACGTCTTATGATATCATCTTCAGGGCTATAGATGCCACCCCTGGACCCTGTAAAATGTCAATAACTTCATCAGACTCTGCATGGTAGCCTTTTCCTTACGGTAGTCAAAAAAGTGAGAGAAAAGAAGCGAGAGGAATAGGTGAGGAGGAAGAGATGGGGCTCATAGCACTGAGCAGAAAGAAAGACAAGCCCAGAACCAGGAGCAGTTTTCTCTCATTAATATCCAGGAGCCTATTGGGCTTCAGACATGGGCTATAGAATGGGAAGGAGGTAACAGAAGACATGGAAGTGTCAGAAGACCAAAAGAAAGGAAGGTGAGGTAGCCAAAAGAATAAGATTAAAGGATCAAAAAGGTCAAAAGACAAACAGTGGTTTTAGTATTGGTGACATTCCTTCCACTAAAATAGTCTCCAGAAACAGAAGTCACAAGCCTACACAATAAAAATGTACTGTGTTTTAGTTTGTTTTGCTTTCTTCACAAAAGCACCAGGATATTAGGTACCTGTGGGGATGGAGGCGGACTTAGAAGTTCTAGAGGCCACGGCATTTTTCTATTGCACAATGAAGAGTTCACTTCATGGAACCATATGCAGATCAGCACCCAGCGTGTTCTTATGAGAAGGAAAAGTTTTGCCCTGACTCCTCTCCAATTTAAACATTAGGGAGAATTATTTTAGCAGGCAAAGCTCTTTCTACATAATGTTTACAAGAAGAGAAAGCTAAAATTGGAGCATTATCCGCAGAATCATATAAGGAGGGAAAAGTGAATACTTTATGCAATAACCATGCATGAAAGATTCTTATATCAGGTTACCTGCCAGTCCTGTGATAAACTGTGTACATGGCAGTCATATCAGAGAAATAAAGAGAACATGGGTGTTATGGAATAAGAAGTAAAATTTTTTAAAGCTTGTGATGTAAAATGAGGGTTAACTTTGGAAAGTAGATTGAACTCTTGGCTGCAGAGATGACAGCCATATCATCTCATCAAATGAGGTACAGTCTTTCCGCCTTTCAGGATAAATGGGGTCAGTGATCAGTTGTGAAAGGACACATAAGGAAAGCAGCAGAGAATGGGAACATTGCAAAGACAAAATCAGAATGTGGAACTGAGTTAACACCCATGGTTATCAAAGCAGCAGCCTCCCGTATTTATTAAACAGTTTTACCTGCATCATCATACTTTGTCCTCACAGAAACCTCATGAGATAGGTGCTGAGATTATTCAGTTCTTAGTACTGAGGAAGCAAAGAGCCAGAGAGGTCAGCTGATCTTCTCTAGGTCACATGGTTTGTAATAAAGTCAGGCTAGAGGTGAGTCAGGGATAAGAACCCTAGTTTGCCACCAGATTCCAGAATCTGCCCATTTCACTATCACATCATCTTACCTCCCTCATAGAATCCTCTGCAGAAAATGGGCACTGATGAAAAGAAGGAAAGGCTTGACAGAAACACAAATCATCTGTAGACATATAATTGTGAATGTTTACAAGAAGAAAGGAAAGTTGGAACACTGCAAAACAGAAAGAAATAAATGAAAGGAGGGAAGGGAACGATATTAAAGCATGGGCCAGTCAGCCTTTTCTAGTGTTTCTCTGTGCATGCAGGTGTCTGGTCCCTCACCACCTGTGAGGTAGAAACTGTCTCCATTTTTCTGAGGAGGAAACCGTAAGTGAGAAAGTCAAAGGCATCCTGCTGCCATTGCAAAGGTAAGGATTATTAGACTAAGACAAGAGAGAAGAACATTCCAGACAGAGGGAACTAAGTGTGCCACTCCTTAGCGTGGGGAGGAAACCTGGAATGTCAAGGAACATAGAGAAGGTCAGTGCAGCTGAAGCATGAGGAGTGAGGTGGAGAAATGTACAAGAGGAGCACATCTAGTGAGACAGGTGGAGACCAGACTCCTTGAAAGACATTTGGGACATGTCAAGGATTTCAGTCTAAAGACTGAACAATAAATTGTAAAAGCAATGGGAATCCGTTGGAGGGTTTCAAGGCTGGCAGGTGGGGGTACTCAGATCTGTGTCATTGCAATAGTCTAGGAGGGAAAGGAGAACTTTGTCAGGGTGGGGACAGTGGAGATGAAGAAAGGGAGATGGATTTGAGAAATATCTAGCAGATGAAATTACCATTGTTTGGTAATAAATTGGCTATGAAAAATGAAGGAGAAAGAGATGTGGAGAATAATTTCTAAGGTTCTGATTTATACAGCCATGTGCTTACTGAAGCCAGTCACTGGACAAGACACATTGGGAGAAGGTTGTTCATATTTGCAGAGTGTGTGGGTCCTGGATAATGAGTTTGGTTTTGAGTACCTGTGTTTGAGGAGGAACAACTAAGTAGAGATGTCACATAGTTTGAAATCCACATCTGGGCTGAAGGAAAAAAAAGTAAAATCTAGTTTAGGTCCCCCAGCCATGCTTTTCTCTTCACCTAACACTTCATTACCTTGATTGATTTGCCTGACTACCCTTTAGAAAACATGCACGGTTGAGACCATGCCTGCCTGGTTTACTGCTAGATCTTCAGCACCAGGCAGAGTACCCAGGACAAAGAAAGCTCTAGAAAATACTTGTCAGACTGAACTGAAACCTCAGACTCTGAGTGTTAATCTAGACAGCTACTCAAACGAGGTCAGTCACATTCAAGATATGGCCATAGGCTAGACAGCCACTCAGGATCAGCTCATCTCTCCTAGTTTAGCTGTAACCTGCATCCATTCATCTCACTGGCTCCAGACTCTTACCTCTGTACTGTGGCTTTCCCACATGCCTTTCCTGGGCTGGGAGTTGGACCCAGTGGTTCCTGCAGAGATTTTAGTGTCGATCTATCTGCCAGAATTCATTTTCCCATTGTCTCAGCTGAGGATTCCCCATTCCAAGAGTAGGACGCAGGAAAGAATCATGATATTAAGTCTTGGAAGGTTGATGGGATTCAGATGGGGAGTGGGTAGGCGGTGCTTATGAATACAAGGCCCAGAAGTACTGTGGGAAAGAGCCAAAAAAGACACTTGACTCGAACAGGGAAATGAGATAAAAGTTTGGCCAGATAAGGTCAGTAGAGAGCTTTGAATATCAGAACAGAAAGTTAGGGTTTAAAAGGAATGATAATGTGGAAGAGCTGTAGATATCTAAGAGGGGAATAATTTAGAGTACAACTTTAGGGAGATTAATCTGGCAGCAGCCTACAGGATTCATTGAAGAGATAAGAGATCAAAGGCAAAGGCACCAGCTCAGAGGCTGTTGCAGTAATGCAGGTGTGAAGAGATAAGAGAATTAACTAGACAGTGAAAATGGAGAGCCTCAGAGATGAAGATAAATGGAAATAACTTGGTGAATGGTTGTCTGGAAGGCAATGGAAGATTCAAAAATGACCCCTAGATTTTAAACCCTGGTGATACCTGGAAGCCTAATGGTGCCCCAGATAGAAAAAGGATCTTTGTTTTCTATGGAGGAAAATAAAACTGAAGAAATTACCGCTCGCATTGCATTGGCTGTAGACCATCTCCTTGCTACAGTATTCACAGCAGTGGTGATCTCTGAGCTCGCCGAGCTACTTTTAATGTAATTTGACTTTAAAATATATTCCTTATCGAAGTCTTGCATTCCTCAAAGATGCCAGAGAGATGGAGGTTTGGTTCCTTTAGACACTTCATCTGGCTTCTAGTCGAGACAGCTGATTCGTCTCTAAATTATTGCACTCCAACAAACCTGCAGACTTTATCTCTCCCCAAGCTGGAGAGGGGGAGATTCTTTTCTCCCCTTTTTCTTTTCTTCTTGTTCTTCTTTTTTTTTTTTTTGTTAACCATTTCAGAAGTAAATCTAAAGCAATAAGTTTTCTTCTAATGGCCACACTGAGTTTACCAGTAAATAAGATGGTGATTAGAAAGACAAAAGCACAATTTTCCCATCTAAGCAATCATGTTATTTAATATTGTCCTAGACAGGCTTAATATCTCCCTGGATATTAATGTGGAATCACACATTATGCTCTCCATCAACATTTAAAAACAACCACCACCACAACAAAAGTGATTCTGGTATTACTGCAAAGAATTAATATAAAATAATATGGATTCAAGCTATAAAAGTACATCTAGATTAAATACTAGCCCAACAGTATTATAACAATCCTGTGACAAATTTAGCTCCAATGATCTAGTGAACATCAACCCAGTGGCCTGAGAACCCACGGCAATAAAATTTCAATGCAATAAAATTTTATCACAACAAAAAATTTATGTGCTTTGTTAAATTGTAATATACACCGATGAAGAACTACACTATTTTCACTTTATTGAAAAAGTAAAATAATAATCAAGAATGCTTTTATTTCTTAAAATTTATAAATGAACTAAATCTTTTTTGCTATCATGACTTGTTTAAAGTGGTCTCATAAAATGTACAACATACTGTATAAGAGGGTTGGTCACTTCTTTAAAACTTATTTTTTTTAAATGCTCATCCACGCCAGGATCTGCTGCTCTCTCCTGTAAATCCAGCACCTTGGGAAGCCAGGGCAGGAGGATTGCTTGAGCTCAGGAGTTCAAGACAAGCCTAGGCAACATGGCAAGACCCCATCTCTACAAAAGTAAAAAAAATAAAAATAAAAATAAATATTTTTATAATGCTCATTCAGCCAGTCACGGAAGCTCACACCTGTAATCCCAGCACTTTTGGTGGCCGAAGTTGGATTATCACTTGAGGTCAGGAGATAGGACCAACCTGGCCAACAGGGTGAAACCCCAACTCTACAAAAAATTAGCTGGGAATGGTGGTACACACCTGTGGTCCCAGCTGCTCTGCTCGGGGGGCTGAGGTGGAAGAATCACTGGAACCCAGGAGACAGAGGTTGCAGTGAGCTGAGACACTGCCACAGCACTCCAGCCTGAGTGACAAAGTGGGACCCTGTCTCAAAAAAAAAAAAAATTAAATATTCATCCAAATATAAAATAGCAATGTCAGTCATAAAAAGCATTGCTTGATAACTCTGTTTATTACAAGAAGTCCTATAAACTGTATTATACAACTGTAGCATTCTTCACACTTTTGTTTTTTTTTTTTACCTCCAAGTCATCCATGTTAATAATTGACATTATTACAGTCATCTCAGATATGGAATTAACCAAGATCAATGGCTTATCTTTTGACTAACACTTTACTTCTTGCAGTTGATGGCTCATCAAAGACATTCTTAAACAAAGATATAAATTTGTGTGATACATTGACAAGGTGTCATATGCAAGATATAAAGGGCCATTTTCTGGAGCAACAATAACAATAATGATCTCATACATTCTCTAATCTTTACAATAACACCATTTATAAATGGAAAGTTTTTTCAGGGAGTATGGAGCAGATTAGCAAAATGTTTCTTGTAAAAAAGAAAATTTTCATAATTAACATTTTTCATGTAGAAATATTAGGAAGGAAACTTTAAACACAAAGAAAATGAGCTTATTTTATTTGGTGGCAGGGGCAGGTGGGGTTACCTGAACATGAAAGATTGTTTGAGGCCTAGCACTTTGGGAGGCTGAGGCAGGCAGATCACCTGAGATTAGGAGTTTGAGACAAACCTGGCAAACATGGGGAAACCCCATCTCTACTAAAAATACAAAAACTTAGCCGAGTGTGGTGGCACTCATCTGTAATCCCTACTACTCAGGAGGCTGAGGCTGCAGAATTGCTTGAACCCAGGAAGCAGAGGTTGCAGTGAGCCAAGATTGGGCCATTGTACTCCACCCTGGGTAGTAGAGTGAGACTTGGTCTCAAAAAAAAAAAAAAAAGAAAGAAAAAGATTAATTGTTTACCTGGTACCTTCTAGCTCTTTGCCACATAGGACGCATTGATATGACAGAAACTCATTCACAGTGAACATGCAGTTATGTTTTATTTTTATTTTACCTAATACTGGGTAACATTCATCTCTGTTCTCGTGTGGACTCCATCCAGTTGCCCAGGCCAGAACTCTAAATCACCATAGCTTCCTCACCTTCCTCTCTGGCCACATTTGGGGAGTCTAGTTCTGCCAGGCCCACGTATTTAACATCCCTCATAGTCGGCCCTTCCTCGCCATTTCCACACTTCTTTCAGGCACTCATCTTTCTCACCCCGATGACTGCAACTGCCTTGGTCATGTACTTTCCCAATAGTCCCTCCTACACTCTTCTGTTAGAGTGACCTTTCTACAGCACATGTATTATGAGGGACTCAGAAAGCCTACAACATTCCCATTTCAGAGAAACATTTTTATGCAAACCTTGAACATTGCTGGGAGAGGATGAGCCATTTCTCATAGGGAGGTAGCCCAGAAACCAGGGAGTGACATCAGCCAGACTCCACTTACTTTTATTTACTCAAATTTATTGAGGCCTCTCAGGGTAAACTTAATGGTTTTGACCAGGTCCAGTGGTGGGAGAGGCAACCACTGGGTCCATAAGAGACAGTCTTCTTGGCCAAGCAGCTTGAGCAGCAGAGCCTCTTCAGTAATTTGTGGAGTCTTCAACCTCAAACCCTCCCTCCAGAGAAGGAGTGATTTCAACACACATCCAGAAGTCATGCCATGACTCTTCCTCATCAGTCATAGTCCTCTAAGAAACATTGGGAAGACTCACACTTAATAAAAACTCTGTTCTTGTACCAGATGTTGCAATATTTTTCCTTAGCCATTTTAGCCTTTTGGACACCAGCTATTCTATTGCTGGCCTAACACAGAAGATGTGCATCCTCTTTTCTCTGTG